TCTCTTGTATTACTTGTCGATCCACCTATCTTCTTCGTAGGATTCCTCCTTCATCTGCATGCATATCACGATTGTTCGTCTTTGATAGGAGTATCATGTGCGTCTTTGGTGACATCATCGGACCATGGATCTTCGAGTGTGTGACATGAAATTTGACATGGAGATAGACATCTTTGCCAATTTCGTGTGGAGTGATAGGCTTATTATTGATGGAAAATATGATAGCTTTGAGCACTTTTGACACCTTTGTTATCTTTCCAATTTGTGATTGCAAATAGATCCATATGTGAGGGATGTGGATGTGGGATCATTTCCTTTACATATATTATTACGATATTAGAGAGTTGTTTTAGCCCCGAGGTAGGACATGAGTTCTAGTCATTTTCCTCTTTGTCCACCAATTGGACTAGAGATCTACAATCTACCTTGATGAGCCGACAGTTTTAGCATGCTCTACATTCACTCTTAGTGTATCCAACCATTCCTCGTACTTCTAGGGCTCATCTATGCGCTTGCTCAAGCAAGGATGCAGGTTCATGGATCTTGGCTCGACCATGCATCAGGGCTTTTCAACTCGTATCAACTACCTTGTCTATAACGATGAGGGTCCGTCTTGGCTTGGTCCACCCATCTACATCTTCATTATTCATGTGTGAGTGTGGTACTACCTTAGATGCAACAGGGTTTCATATGACTTGTTGTACATTCAGAGGGCATAGGATTGCTACCCATGATGCCATTAGGGATGTGGTGTTTACTATGGCGCAAGAGGGTGGATACTTCACAATGGAGGGAGTGTTAGTATGCCTTGCAATTGACTCAGGTTAGGGCAGACCTATACTTGGTTCGAGAGGATCAGTTATTATTGTAGACGTTATGGTTACAGATTCTACATGTGACACGGTTTCGAAGGGGGTGATTACCCATCGTTCTGGATGGGCTACTAGTGGAGTGGCATAAGCCAAGGTTTCCAAGTATAGGGATATGCAGAGAGATCACCTCTTTGTTCCTCTAGCTTTGAAGTTATACGGAGCTATGGACACCAACTTCCACATGTTCATGAGAGAATGCACGAGATACTCTCATACTATGCAGCAAAGGTATCATTCTCTTTAGGTTATTGTATAGTCTATTTTAGGTACCGTGTTTTCATTCTCTACCTTGTGAAATCCATGATTCTTTGTATGCTTTTATTGTAAGTAAATCATTTGAATTAGATAGTTAAGATATATGAGATGCAAAATGACATATTTCCCATTGTGAAGCTATTGGATTTAGGCTCATGTTACCCGTTTGGTTTCATCCATGTATGAGTTCTATACTTTTTGTTATTTGACTTTATCGTCTGCTTTGGAAATATTATGACAGCTTGGATATTCAACTACATAGTCATAGAACTGCACTTGAAGAACATAGTCAGCATGAAGTAGTACACTCTGAACTGAAATCTTCGTCGGGAGCCGCGGCCTTCTGCACTACTTTGACTGGAACATACCGGAGTACGTGAACTGTTCAGGTTTACGAAGTCATCATTTTTCTAATAAATGTTCCATTACAACGGGAAGGGGTATGTCAAGGTACAGTATGTAAATAAGAATTGTGATAGGCGAGAAAAACGCAGTGTTAAGAGAACAACCGTCCCCTCGTTTGCAGCAGCCAGTATCCCATCATTTCTTTCATCATTACCCCCAAAATCTCTCCACTAGCTCGATTTTATCAAAACTGTCTTTGTCGCAGAGTTTTTTGTTGTCATCTTTTCAGAACTCGTAGAGGCTTGGAGACCTTTGTTTTAAACCTTAAATTAATCTAGAAAAAGGGGACGCACTTTCTTTCTTTTCTCAATGAAGCTTCAAAAACAGGCGGAACATTACTCAGCAGGGTACAACTAATATAGCAAAGAGTATGGGAAGACCCCATCAGTCTTACATGGATGAAACCAAAGGGGTAGATGGGACTAGCCCCAATGGCATTATAATGGGAGATATTTACTATTGCACCTAAGATCCCCCCTCAAGGCTTAACTCTCCGCAGGCCCGTAGCGCATCAAAGGCTTTCTGATTTCGTGGCCCTCCTGTCTTACATCCAAAGGGCCACCCCACAGGAGAGAGCAAAAAAAAATATGTACATTTTTTGTTAGTGCGGCTCCCAAAGGCGGTTGTCGGGCTCTTCGTTGTAGGACAATAGTGGCACCTTGACTCGGTCGGCTCCTTCGGCCCTTCCTATGCATTTTTTTAGCGGCGTTGGGAGTTGAAGGTTAATATCACTGAGCAAATTAGTAGTCAACTGGCTACCTTTTGTCAAAAATTTACGCAGAGCTTCTTAGCAACTCATCAATCATAAAAAAAGAAGAGGGGCGAAGCTATATGATTCACCCCTCCCCCCTGTTACCGAGTACCTATGGCTTATGAAAAAGGTAGGGCATGGGCTGGGATGGGCGATTGCCTGCAAGGATTAGAAGCTTGGCGTTAAGAAATGTCGATCCTCGTACAAGCGCGGTGATGTCGGGTTGTGACGTGGCTACTATGAGAAGATGATGACATGTGTCATCTTCTAAACTCTTGTCATGACGACGATACTTTAGGTTAGGATAACCGACGATGCATTGTAAGGTTGTTAAGAGCCCACGGTTGGATCGACTTTGTAGGGCCATGATGTTAAAAAGGCTCCAAAAGATATTATTTTGGACCTTATCAGATATAAAGCGTGGTCAGGATGGGAGAGATTTAAAACATCACTTTGCTCACTAAGGAGCTTATCTGATCGAAGCGGAGCCGACGTAGGACATGGATAGAGGACAACATGATCCTCAGATGTACCGATGCCCAATCCATTTGTGATCAACATCTGGTATCTTCATCGTGATCACTTTCGGGTGTGGTTACTATATCACTTTGGAGATAACTTTATGCAACAAGTGATAAACTCTCTAGACCCGATTATTCTTCTAGCAATTTCCTACGGCGCGATTTGGGATCTAACCGTATACGTTTTGATTTAGTTTGGGTGCTATGGATCTGAACTTACCAATAGTGATGACTTTCAACACATGGGTTCCAATCCATCACTATTTTTTACCAAAAATAAGCCATATGGAGTTGATTGTTAGGAATTTTGGCGAAGAGTATTATTCTCAAGTTATAAACTCCCCGGTTCCGTTTGTAGTTCTGTTCATACTTAGCCGGTTTCGAGTTATCATTTTGACTCTTTATTAGTGGCAACTCATATTGTGTATATGATGGCTAAGTAGTCTGTTTAAGATAGTTGTAAAGCTCTAAGTTAAAATGAAACTAATTTGGCCACACTAGAGGTCAAAATGACACTCTTCATTCTCATTGGTCTTGGAGTTTGGACCAATGAGGACAATTGGGCAAGTTCTTTGAGGTTTTGAGGAGTTTTGGAAGCCTTCCAAGAAAACATTCAAGGATTTGAGGACATGGTTGGAGAGCTCACAGAAAGAGCTACGACGTGGGCTCACAAATGGATGCAATTCAGAGGTTTGATACTATGATATGGTGATTCAAAGATAGAAAGGAAAATATTATATCTTTGAGTGTATTTGGGATATTTCTGAGAATCCTTTGAAGTTTTTGAGAGATCTGATTCAACTGAGATATAGTTTACAACTCAAGCTCGTGCTTGGATTGAAATTTTGACTCAATTGGATAAGTTTTGAGTACGGAGTGATGGCTTGAAGTTTGTGTACACAGTTAGAGTTGCAGGATTGCACTTACTATCATGAAGTTAGTACAACAATCATATCTTTTGCTATCAGAAAGTTTCATCAATAAAACTTTCTACAATTGAAGTTTCAATGACAAATGAGCTTCTCATGAAATTTGAATGCAATTGGAGGCGAGAATTGGGATGTGTGATGGTTTTAGTACACATGGATTTGCATATTGCCTTGTGATACAGTATATAACTCGACAATTGTTTTGAAAGATCTAGAAAAGTGAAACATATAAAACATTTCTGAGAGAACAAGAATATTGTAGAGCAATTTTCTGTGAAGTTTAGGCGAGAGTTATTGGTCCAATTATTAGATATCATAATCTACTTCCGCTGAAGTTTTACCGATTGTAATGAACTCGAATATGAATTGTTGAGGAGAAGAAGAAGAGATTATCAACTCACACGAGGTTCAGGAGGGTTCTTCTACAGCCAGGCGCTCAGGCGTTCTTAGAGCAAAGCAATGTCCATGCGATACAAGTAGTGAACTCGACGTGAAATCTTTGAGGTGGAGGAACTTTCATGAGTTCTCTTGTTGCGAGTTTACAGTTTCATGAGTTTCGGTTTATGGTTGATTGTTTTAAGTTTAGAGTAAGGTGTAGATTTCAAGCTCAGATTGTGAGTTGGCCTGGAGATATTAGGGTGCAAGTTCAAGTTTTATTTGGACTTGAGATATAAAATTAGTCAGATATCAGATAGTAAGGACTCTATAGTGTTGGCATAGCTCAGATTGTTGAAACTTATGATATGTCAAATGCCAATTGATGGCAAGAGTCAGTCATGGGTGGGTTGTTGTTTGCTTCATGTATTTGCATCCCCTCCATATTGGCTTCTTGTGTGTGCGCCATGCTGGATTTGTGTGGTCACCTAATTCTATAGGATTGCTCCGAACTTGATCACCGGTTACCACTCTAGTGTGTGATGCGTATTTCTCTTGTGAGAAGTTGGAAGTGATGGCCAACTCTCCCAAGAGTGCTTGAGGTGATGGCAGGTTAGGTCGCGGATATCATAATCTTCTTCCGTTGAAGTTTTACCGGTCGTAATGAACTCGAATGTGAAGTGCTGAGGAGAAGAGGAAGAGATTGTTAATTCACACGAGATTCAAGAGGGTTCTTCTACAGCCAGACGCTTAGACGTTCTCAGAGCAAAGCAATGTCCATGCGACAGTGAGCTCTTTAGGTGGATCCCTCCAAAGACCCAACTCAATGTTAAAAAATGATGGCATTTATCATAGTTTGCTTTTAGAGCAATCTTAGTGAAGGTAAGAAAGAGTATCCCTCATGGGATTTGAACCCGTATTTTCGACATGAAAAGACGATGTGCTATACCCCAAGACAAAAGGGACAATCCTTCCTTGTTGCTTGTTATCAACCATTTTCCTATTGCTAGGTCCCTTTCAGATAGGCAGGTAATACATGCCCTCTGGAGTTCCTAGGGATAAAAGCGACCCCTAGAATCTCACCATTGTTTTCTACACGGCTCGTCCAAAAACATTTATTTTTTAACGCATTGTGATTAAGATGTCATTTAGACTCCTATCCCTAGTAATATATGTAATCCGCTCCATTTTGAACTCTATCCTTCCATACGAGAGAGTAGGTAGAGGTCAAACCATTTATGACCTGGTTGATATATACCATCAATAGAAATGGAACGAGCAACATATGTTCATGCGCTTTGCCATTTGCAAAGATCATGTGTCAATGGTTAGTTGCTGGTTGACAAGGACCGAAAGAGTCTCTGATTTGCCAGTACATAACCTCATCTTAAATACAAGAAAACCGGCTTGCTCCATACTTTTGGGTTATCCCCCCCCCCCTTTTTCACCGGGGAGGGTAAATAAACCCCCCTCAACAGAGCTTCTTGCACATGTTAAGGTCTCCGTGTTCGTTGCCGAAAGTGAGTACCAAGGGCTCTAAGGAATTTCCAACGTATAGTAATGTTTCACTTTAAGTTTTACTTTGGAGGTAATAATACATAAAAAGTCATATAAAACACGCATAACCAAACAAATTGTGTCAAATACGTAAATTGATCTAGTTGAGGCATTTTTTTCCTTTTTTTTACACCTATTCCAATACTTATTGAATCGCGTTTTGTCAATCACTTTTAAAAGAAAATGTTGATATCAAATTGGGGTGTGACCCTCCTGTTACAAAGAACTAAACGGTCCCAGGGTAATGAACCCTCTAAAAAGTCATTATTGGAAGCCGCAACAAATTTGAAAAAGTCGACCACAACCGTGATGAAAGTACGGTATCAATCTTAGTATTTCCAAAAGAAAGAAATAGAGAGAAATCCGTCGCCTTTACCAGTAACACAGGTGAGATATCCGAGGTTACACCTATAGCAAATCCTTTCGAACTATATTTAGAAAATATGTCTGAAATATGTCTATAGTTTATTTTTGAAATTGGTATCACTACTCGGGAAGTTCTATTTTTAATTATTCCGTAAAAAAAATTACACTTCGTTTTCATTACCTGTAGAGCCAAATCCCATGTTACGCACAAGTTACTCATCGTGCGGTATAACATCCTTAAGTTCATGTTCCACGTGTGTTCCATTATTATTAAGATACTCGTGTTGTTGGCTCCAAATGCTTATTTTAAACTTCTATCACTTCAAGCCATTAGCTGCCTCATAAGCAGCCTTCATTCCCCATTTGGGAGAATGGTACATCCAGCTACCATGGTTGGCCATGGGTTATCGATTTAGCCGGCAAGAATCTCTAGCGTCATTCTCACCATACTTTTTATTATATGGTATAGATCTAAACTTACTTGCAGCTATTCGTCGAGAGTCAACTGAAGTTTTGGACTTGAATAACCCTCATGTTTGGGTTAGGGTGTGTTTTCAAAGGGCAAAACTCTTGCGTAGAGTAATATCCATGGCATTTGAGAACCTGGCTATTGTTCATTATATAGATACTTTGCGTTATGCTACCATCCGAGGAGGTGGATATCGACCTTCAATTGGCATATTTCATGTTAGTGATTACATTTACTTGTAGCAGAGTGCACCGACCATATTGGATGTTACAGATGGTCGCACGATTCTACGAGTACGTGAGGTTTTACCTTCTAGAGTTTTGGTATTGGAGGGTCATGATGGTGTGATTTGGAAGGATCATGTGCGTAATTGTGCGCCATGTCACCTTCCAAACATTGATGGTACTATGGATCCAAGCCTGACAGTTGTGCGTGAAGGCTTGAGATGCATGTTATGTGGATCAACTGATGGAGCATCCAGTATGTTGATTTGTGATTCTTGTTCAAGAGAATGACATATGTCATGTTTGACACCTCCTCTCAATGCGGTGCCCAGTGGGCGGTAGAGATGTCCTCGATGAGTTTAGCAGGTAAGCAGGTTTGACCGTTACATGATATGGATTGCAAATAGACAACTAACGATGGGGCATTATAGCACACAGCCTCTTGATCTTAGTCCCATAAAGGACATATCATATTATGGACTAGATGACTACCTGGTGTTAGAGGGATCTAACCGCTAGTTAGGGGGACGATTGTGGTACACTTGTGTTGGTGTATGACGATCTATGTATTGTGATGTTTGATGTGACAGCAATGTATGTTGTGATGCGATATGTATGTGCACGACAGCTGTCATGACTTATGTAACGGCATCTCTAGTTAGGTAGCTATGCGTATGCAGGACCAGATATAATAGTTAGAGCCGTTCGCACTGGAATTCCCGTTAGGGCCGACAGCGCCGTTAGGGGTCCTAGGGCTCAAGGGGTAGAGTTCAAATTAGGATTCCTTGGAGGGCAATTTTTGAAGGTGAGCCTTTGAGAGTGTGGCTATGGTGGATAGTACCTAGTGCGGAAATCTCGAGTCTTTGAAGCACAAAGTGGGTTTGGCTTGACTGTAATCTCTCTTTTGTGCTATGGTTATGAGCGGCGTGTTCTTGTGGACGAAAAGATTATTGTGGTACACTTGTGTTGGTGTATGACGATCTATGTATGGTGATGTTTGATGTGACAGTGATGTATGTTGTGATGTGATATGTATGTACACAATAGAAGTAGTGTCCATGCGATAACGTAAGTGAAAAATTGCGTAATCTACCATACTATGCGACATGGTATCACTTTTTTTAGCATATTATATAGCCTATTTTAGCTAGAGTGTATACATTGCTCTACAAAGAGCATTTAGAATAGAAATGCTTGGTTTGGGAGGACTAGGTTATTGTTGCATACATGTAGGCGTTTGCAACAATAATTTATTTTGGAGGAGATGATTACCGATTGTCATGGATGGGCAGCGAGTGGAGCGGCATCAGCCAAAGTCTCCAAGTATAGGGGTATGCAGAGAGGTCACCTCTTTTTTCTTCTAGTTTTGGAGTTATATGGAGCTATGGACAACGACTTTGACATGCTAATGAGAGAATACACGAGAGCCTACTATGCTATGCGGCATGGATATCACTCTCTTTAGGTTATTGTATAGCATATTTTAGTCAATATGTTTCAATTGTTCTACAAAGAACACTAATTGCTGCAATTCATATGAGAGCATTCAAGTTACATGATGATTCTTAGGATCCTCTTATATATATATATATATGCTTGTTGGATTATTCCCAGATTTGAATGGAGGACCACGAAATTGTCAGCATACCGGATGAAAGAGAGCTGGGCATGTCTCTCTCTTCGTCCAACGGCTTTTTCTTTGGTGTCCATACATAAAAAATTTTCTACCCAAACTACTTTAATCCATGAAGCGCCACGTTGACAAAAATCCTATTATGTTTTAGGATAACCGGTGAGAAATGCCATTACCCAGTCTAAACATTGGTGGGTGGGAATCAAAAAAGGTTATGTGGTAAGCCGTCTTGTTCTATTATACAAATAATGCCAATGCATAACACACAAAATTTAGCTACTTCCCATAGCTTTTGATAAGGTGTATACTAAACAAGCGGTTTGAATCAGAGAGTTTCTAATTATGAATTTCTTCCAATGTCAAATCCGTAAAATAACCAAACTAAGGTAATAAACACCTAGAAACAAATTCAGACCAGCCCCTACAAAATAAAAATATTACATAAAAATGAATCCTTATCTAAATATTTTCTAAAAACAAACAAGGATACGTATAAAAATTCCAACTATTTGATATTAATTAACCTTTCTAATATTAAAACAAATCTGATTTCATAGGGCCCTTCTTTCGTAAAGGCAAAGAAGTTTGCGGAAATTGTAAAGCCATTTTCGGCCAAAGGATCCGTAAAGCCAAAGAATCACGCAATGCATGGAAAGGCAATGACTAGGAGTCTTGGAAAAAAAGATTTGTTTGTGTGTATAACCTTAGGGGTCTTCCAAGATTCCCGAGTTCTGGGTTCCATTTATCTGAAAGGCCGTAAGGCTCCCGCTATACATCTGAGGTGCGTTGAAAGAACGGGAAAGGACATCACATTACTTTCCCTCATGCCTATATCCGATGTGGTTTTGTCTCTAGTCAATTGCTTTGGTTGGATAAACACCAAAATTTTCTTCGTCACTTCAACTCAGTGGTCTGGCTCGGGCCGCAACGCGCCCCCTTTTTCCCTTTGAACCTAGACAAATCTGGATTAAATCTAGGATAATTTCTAATAGAAACATGATGTTCTATTCTGGGGCTTGTTTGCGTTCGTCATAGTATATTTTAAGTTTAGACGCATACTAAACGGACCGGCACAAGGTTCGAATTTATTGACCGATGCCTTGGAGGGCGAAGGACTTCCACTGGAGGGAATTCCTCTGGTGCTCAAAGACTACCTCCGGGCTCAACAGCTCATTTCCTCTTGCAAAGCAAATAGATTTCCAGCTAGCACCAATACCTAACCATTATCCTAGGAAATCAGATGTGTTGTTTGATAATTTTTATAAGACCAGCCGCCACTTCCAAATCGACTAAGCACATCAGCTAAGAACGCATAATTTGTTCCCTCACTTGACTTGTTAGGCAAGGCCACCAACTCAATCCACTTGGAGAAATGCTCCACCATGACCAACACATATTGATGATGTCGTATAGTCAATGGCATGGGTCCTGCAAAATCCTAGCTCCAACGATAACCAAGTCCCATAATCGGTAGAGGATGTAATTGTGATGTAGGGGCATTGAATGATGCTTGAACACAATCACATACCATACATCTAGCCACAAACTGTTGCACCTTAATTTGCATACCTCTCCACCAATAGTGATTTTGAAGTAAGCATATGTTTGCTTTACTCTAAAATGACCTAACTCCTCATGAGCATGTCTGACCAACTGTACTCTCTCATATGGAAGTGGCACAACACACTTCCAACAACAAACGTTGTCATCTCCCCATAC